GGCCTCCGAAGAGGGCCCCAAGTTGCCAAAATCGTTGATTTTCATTTGTTTTTTCTATGTTTTTTTGCGTTCTGGCCTTTTCGCTTCCGGACGCTCCAAGAGGGCCCAAGAGGCCTTCAAGACTGCTCCAAGACGGCCCACGAGGCTCCCAAGACGGCCCCGGAGCGGCCCAAGAGCGCCCCCCAGACGGCCCAAGTGCTGCCCAAGGCGGACCAAGAGGCCCCAAGACGGGCCCAAGAGGGGCTCAAGAAGGGAACCGAGAACTGAAAAATCGAGCCCTCCGCCCCAGAAGGCGCCCAGGACCCCGAAAGAGGCCCCAAGAGACTCTCCAAGACACCCCCAAGACGCCCCAATAAGCTCCCGTGAGGCCCCAAGAGGACCAACAACGTCAGGCCCCAGGCCCCAAGAGGACCAACAAATACCGCCAAGAGCCCGCCGAAAGCCCCCCAAGAGACCGTCACGAGAGCTCAGGAGGCCCCCTGGAGGCCTCCCGAGTTCTCCAAGAGGCCTAAAAAGAGGCGCCAAGAGGCCCCAAACGGCCCCACCGAGGCTCCAAGAGGCCACGAACGCGCAAGCAAACGCCTGCGATGGCACAATACGGGCCGGCGGAATGAGCGAAGCGATTAAATATTTGTTTTATGGGGCCCGCGCCTCGCGTCACTAATCCGAAGCGGCCATCCTCAAACCTGTAACTGTCGTCAACGTTGGGCTTTGGGGCTGCGGGCCAGGGGGAAGTCTGCAGCGGGAGCCTCGCTGTGAGCAGATCGCGACGAAGCCTCGGGCGGAAGCCCCCCTGCCTAGGGGGTCCCCACCTCCACGCTCGAATCCGAGAGGCCGCGAGGAAATACCATGCCAGGCGGGCCGGGCTGAGGCGGAGCAGTTCGCGGCAGCGCTCGGTTTCGTGCGCTGCCTTCCGCCTGAGCGCGGCCGCGCCCAGCTCGAGGCCCGCGGGGATGTCACGGCGTTGTCCTCCCGCGCCCCAACGGCCCACGGGGGTGTCCCGACGGCCTGCAGAGGGGTTGTCCCGTCGGTTTCGCGGTCTAGCCTGCCGTGAACGCGCCGTTGCCGACCGTGGCGGCGAGGGCTCCGAGGAGAATCCAAATGCGTGCCCCGGCCAGAAGGAAGGAGAGGTGCATGAGGAGAACCGGCGGGATAGAGATGAGGAGAAGGAGAAGGAAGAGGAAGAGGAGGACGAGGAGGAGGAGGAGGAGGAGGAGGTGGAGGTGGTGGAGGAGTAAGAGGAAAAAGACGAGAGTGGGGCAGGAGGACAACAAAGAGGACGACAAGGAGGCAACGGGGGGCAAGGAGGAGGAGGAGGAGGAAGAGGCGTAACAGAGAGCGGGAGGAAGGTTTCCAACAGGGCAAAAGAAAATAACGAGAAGCAAACTACATGGTTTCTCGTGCGGGGTCGTCCCGTCGGGGAATTTTGTTTCTCGGAGCTCCCCGCGCAATCCTCACACAACCTCTTTGCATCCTGTTCCCTATTTGCACTCATCGCGATCACCACCGCCATCATCATCAGCTTCACCATCGCACCGTCATCGTCATTATCATGATCATCACTATTACCATCCCAACATCATTATCGACCATCGATCACCACCAACATCACAACCGTAACCCCCGTCATCATCATCATCATCATCATCATCATCATCATCAACATCATCATCATCATCATCATCATCATCATCATCATCATCATCATCATCATCATCATCATCATCATCATCACCATTACCATCACCATCACCATCACCATCACCATCATAACATCATCAAGATCATCCCCAGCGTCATCATTGCACACACGCATTCACTCACCCACGCACTCGCACAACCACACAATCATCTTGAAGTACTCTCGAGCGGTAGCATGCATCTGTTGTGAATGAATTGTGAAGTACTCCGGGGCGGAAGCCCCCCTTCCCTATGGGGCCCGCACCTCATGCTTCGTTTTAGTACGAGGGGATCACCCTCACACCTGTGACTGTTGTCACTTTTGGGCTCCTCAGCCCTGCACGCGGCGGAAGTCTCGAACTGGGACCGCGTTTGTCAATGAATAGCGGGGAAGTCTCAGGCGAAAGACCCCTCCACATGGGGCCCGCGCCTCACGTTTCTAGTTCCACGGGGTCGTCGTCAAACCTGTACCCGTCGTCACTTCTGGGCCGCTTGGGCGTGAATGTGGAGGAAGTCTTGGGCGGGAACTCCCGTCGTGAGCGAATTGCGAAAAAGTCTTCGGTGGGAGCGCCTCCCTCTGGGGCCCGCACATCACGTATTTCAATTCAAGGCGTCATCCTCCAACTTGTCACTGTCGTCCGTTCTTGGCTTCTGGAGCGCGAATATGGAGGAACTCTCGAGCGGGGGCCTCGTCGGTGAATGAGTAGCGAGGAGGTCTCAAACGTGACCCCCCTCCCTATGGGGTCCCCGCTTTCATGTTGGAACCCGAGCAGGGTCATCCAAACCGTACGTCAGTCGTAACGTTTGGGTTCCTCGGGCCTGAAGATGGAGGACATCTCAAACGGGAGCGTCGTTTGTCAATGGATGCTGGGCGAGTCTCGAATTGGAACCCCTTCCGGCCCCCACCGTGCAGGACGAACTGAAGAGAAAGGCAGTGAAGGAGGCAGCCGAAGAAGAAACATAAGAAGAAAACTGAAAAGTGCAAGCATGGAAAATGAGGCTCCCTCTGGGACCACGTAACGCTGTGCTGGATGGGGGAGCCGCATGCGGACTGCGCCACTGGGACCTTCGGTGAGGCTCCCCCTGGGACCACGTAACGCTGTACTGGACGGGGGAGCCGCATGCGGACTGCGCCACCGGGACCTTCGGTGGAGCTCCCTCTGGGACCACGAAACGCTGTACTGGGCGGGGGAGCCGCATGCGGACTGCGCCACTGAGACCTTCGGTGGAACTAGGGCCACGGAACGCTGTACTGCTCGGGAGAAATGCATGCGGACTGCGCCACTGGTACCTTCGGTGGAGGTCCCTCTGGGGCCACGAGTCGCTGTACTGGGCGGGAAAAACGCATGCGGACTGCGCCACTGGTACCTTCGGTGAAGCTCCGTATGGGGCTTCGAAGCGCTGTACTCACTGGGTTTGGGAGCCGCATGCGGACTGCGCCACTGAGACCTTCGGTGGAAGTCCCTCTGGGGCCACGGAACGCTGTACTGGGCGGGGGAACCGCATGCGGACTGCGCCACTGTGACCTTCGGTGGAGCTCCCTCTGGGGCCACGGAAAGTCCTACTGGGTGGGGGAGCCGCATGCGACTGCGCCACTGGTACCTTCGGTGGAGGTCCCTCTGGGGCCACGTAACGCTGTACTGGGCGGGAAAAACGCATGCGGACTGCGCCACTGGGACCTTCGGTGGAGCTCCCTCTGGGGCAACGAGACGCTGTACTGGGCGGGGGGGGCGCATGCTGACTGCGCCACTGGCACCTTCGGTGCAATTCTCTATGGGGCAACGAAACGCTGCCGTGGGCCGGGAAATCGCATGCGGATTGCGCCACTGGAGCTCCCTATGGAGCAACGAAGCGCTGTCCTGGGCGGGGGGAGCCGCATGCGGACTGCGCCACTGGGACCTTCGGTGAGGCTCCCACTGGGGCAACGGATCCAGGTAATGAGTGGGGAGACCGCATGCGGACTGCGCCAATGGGACCTTCGGTGGAGCTCACTGATGGGGCCACGGAACGCTGTACTGGGTCGGGGAGCCGCATGCGGACTCCGCCACTGGGACCTTCGGTGAGGCTCCCTCTAGGGCAACGGAACGCTGTACTGGACGGGGGAACCGCATGCGGACTACGCCACTGGGACCTTCAGTGGAGCTCCTTCTGGGGCAACGAAACGCTGTACTGGGCGGGGGAGCCGCATGCTGTCTGCGCCACCGGGACCTTCGGTGAAGCTCCCTCTGCGACTGCGAAACGCTGTACTGGGCGGGGGAGCCGCATGCGGACTGCGCCACTGGGACCTTGGTGCAGCTCCCTGCTGGGGCCACGGAACGCTGTACTGGGTGGGGAACCGCATGCGGACTGCGCCACTGAGACCTTCGGTGGAACTGGGGCCACGATGGGCGGGGGAGCCGCATGCGGACTGCGCCACTGGGACCTTCGGTGGAGCTCCCTCTGGGGCAACGAAGCGCTGTTCTGGGGGGGGAGCCGCATGCGGACTGCGCCATTGGGACGTTCGGTGAAGCTCCGTCTTGGGACGAAGCGAGGTAATGGGTGGGGGAGCCGCATGCGGACTGCGCCACTGGGACCTTCGGTGGAGCTCCTTCTGGGGCCACGAAACGCTGTACTGGGCGGGGGAGCCGCATGCGAACTGCGCCACTGGGACATTCGGTGAGGCTCCCCCTGGGGCAACGGAACGCTGTACTGGGCGGTGGGACCGCATGCGGACTGCGCCATTGGGATCTTCGGAAGGGCTGGGACCACGAGACGCTGTACTGGGCGGGAAAATCACATGCGGACCGCGCCACTGGGGCCTTCGGTGGAGGTCCCAATGGGGCAACGAACTGTGTGAGGGTGTGCCAAAGCGAAGGGGGTGACGTGAGGAGGGAGGAGGGGGAGGAGGAAGGAGGAGGAAGGAACGCGGGGCGCTACCTCTTCAAAACGAGGATCCAACACCACAGGTTGGTTGAGGAAAAAACTGGCAAACAGATGGAGTCAGAGGGACAAATGAGAGAGGAGGGAGGGGAGGGAGGAGGCAAGGAGGGAAAGAGGGAGGCGGGGGAGGGGAGAGGAGGGGCGGAGAATGACCGAGGAGGCGACGACACACGAGGGAGGAGAGAGGGAGGGAGGGAGAGAGGGAGGGAGGGAGGAGAGGGAGGGAGGTAGGGAGGTAGGGAGGGAGGGAGGGATGGGAGGGAGGGAGGGAGGGAGCGAGGGAGGTGGGAAGGAAGGGAGGGGGGGGGAGGGAGGGAGGGAGGGAGGGAGGAGCGAAGACGGACACGAGAAGGGGAAGCGGACCGGCGGCGCCAGGAGCGAGACGGAGTGCTCGGGAGGGCCTTCAGGGGGAACCACTCGAGCACCAGATCGGCGGGCTCCACGATCTCTCCGGAGGCCAGGCCCACGAGCGAGGCGACGCCCTGGCGGGGAGTGCCCCAACGCCCCTCGCCGCTCCAGCCTCGCACCCTGCTCTCTCTCCCGCCTCCCGCTGCCGACGGCTCCTTGCCCCTCGCTGCTCCACGCTCCCTGCTGCCGCTCGCCTCCCGGCTCCTGCAAGAGGGCCCCACGACGGCCCAGGAGGGCCCCAAGGGACCCCAGGACTGCCTCGCAGAAGGTCAAGACATCCCCAAGAGGGCCCCAACGAGTTCCATGAGAGCTCCTCAGATAGTGAAGACGAAAGGCATCACATATGAAGGACTTCCTCCTCCTCCTCCTCCTCCTCCTTCTCCTCCTCCTTGTGGGTCCCCTCTCCTCGCTTCTGCTGGTGACACCCCTCCTGCTCCGCGCCTCTAGCTGGTCCTCCTCGTGCCCAGGCCCCTGCTGACTCCCACTTCCTTCGGCCCTGCCGAGCCCCGCCCTTTCCCCCTTTTCACCCACCTCCGGGCCTGCTGCTGCTGATCACCCCTCGCGTCCTCGCATCCCTCCACGTCTACTGTCCAGGAGGAGCGGAGAAGGGCGGCCATCCCAGTGATGAGGGGGCCCTGGGACACACAGAAATAAATGCACACAGATACCTGGATTCCCCATATGTTCCCATATGTTGTGGGTTTCTGTCTTCCCCCCCATTTCCCATAGTTTTCCATACTTTCCTGGGAATAGACGAGATGAATTGTGTCTGTGTGTTTTTTCCCTCCTGAAGTGACCCGAGGACATATCCCCAAGCTCCTCCGCGAGGCGAGCGCTGAGCGCCGCAAGCCCCCCTCGGAAGCCGCAGGGCAGAGCGCGCACGACGGGTGCCGTTCGCCTGCGCCCAATCTGACCCATGCAGTGAAGACGCTTTGCTGGCGGGGAGGGGGAGGAGAGAAAGAGAGAGAGAGAGAGAGGAGAGAGAGAGAGAGAGGAGAGAGGAGAGAGAGAGAGAGGAGAGAGAGGAGAGAGAGGTGAGAAGAGAGAGAGGAGAGAGAGGGAAGAGAGAGAGAGAGAGAGAAAACAAAACAAGAGGAAGGAAGGAGGAGGGAGGGAGAAAGGGAGGGAGAGAGGGAGTCGGAAACGGGGCGCGTGCACCCTATCTCCAAAGGCGCACTGGCGTCCTGGACCGCGATCTTGCAGATGCAGCGCTGCCAGAAAGCGATGATGACCTCGGGGAGCCAGGGGCACAACGACGGTGAGCAGGACGAGGCATTGCTGCTGCCTCCCCGCCTGCTGCCCGTCCCTCCTCTTCCTCCTCTGGTTATCATCCTCCTGTTCCTCCTTGCCCTCCTCGTCATCGCCTCCACCTCGCCTGCTCCCCCACCTCCACGACCGTTCTTGACTCCGCCTCCCGTATCCGCCTGCTCCCCTACCTCCACGACCGTTCCTGAGGCGGCAAGGCTCGGGTCTAAGCAGAGGCGGCACACGGGCGCCTGGACTGAACCATTCCCTCCGCCTATTTCGCGTCCTCCTCCACGTGAGCATCCTGCTCCTTTTGTATCATCCTCGCTCTCTCCGTCCTCCTTTGCCCACTTCTCCTTCTCCTCTTCTTCCTCTTATCCTCCTCCTCATCAGACGCTGAGGCGCTGGCGGCAATGCAGTTCTCCAAAACGCCGCCGCTTCCCCCAGAGAGGGCCCCGTCGGGCCCCTTTTCTGGTGGGGCGTAGACCAACACGCAAATTTCGGGGCCGAGGCCCCGCAGGACAGGAGGGAGGGACGCATGCTGGGACGCAGCATCATCACATCATCTCATGACCTCATGAGGAAGGGACAAGAGTGAAGGGGCCCTGGGACACACACATAAAGACACACAAATAAAAAAGATTCCCCATATTTGCTCCTATGTTCTGGGTTTTTGTCTTCCCCCCCCACTTCCCATATTTTCCCATATTTTCCTGGGAATGGGCGATTCATTGTGTCTGTGTGTTTTTTCCCCTCCCGAAAGCAGCAGCGCGGGCAGCCTGTGGCGCAGGTAGGGCCGCGTGGGGGCCTCGCGCGGGTCCCCCCTTTTCCCGGGTCGCGTGGCCCCACTAGGCCACCGCCGTAGAGGGTGCCCAAAGGGTCCCCCCCCCTGTGGGGGTGCCGATCTTGCTGAGGACACGTGGGGGTGACCAGCTGTCCTGGCAGTGGGGCGGCGGCTAGGAGGCGAGCGAAACTTGGCGGCAGAGTTAGGGCTGCAAGAGAATGTTGGACAACCCAGAAGAGCCCCCCAAGAGGCCCCAGGGGAGCCCAATACGCCGCCAGGGAGCCCCAAGACGCTCCCAAGAAGCCCCCAAGAAGCCCCCAAGACGGCCCCAAGAGGCCCCAAATAGCGCTCGCTCCAGGGCCGGCGGAATGAGCGAAGCGATTAAATAAAACATGGAAGGCCAATGGAGGTGCCGAGGCAGGCTGTTGAAAGTGGGAGGCAGTAGGACAGACGGGCCCCCTCTGCGGGGTGCCGCTCGCAGTGGGCAAGCCCATCCCTCTGCCCATAGGAAACACCCGCAAGCGCGCCAGATGCCGACGGCGGGGCCCCTCGCCTGCAAGTATAGGTGAAAAGGGTTCCTAGCACGTCGACCTCTTGGCCGCCTTGGGGGTTTCCGCCGAACGCGAAGGAAGTTTGGGCCCTTCGCCAGTGATGGCGCGAGGCCGCGCCAGCCAATCTCGCTATGGTAGATGGCAAAAAGGAGGAAGCCCCTCTAAGCAACCACCACCCCCAAGACTGGCACCCTCCCCCGCCGGGGCAGGAGTAGGGTGCCCAGATCACGGGGGTGCTGGCTGCTGAGGGGGGTCCACACTGCGCGGGGGTGGTTTTTGCCATATGCGGCGGTGGCGCGGGCGCGCGGTTTGCTGATCCCCCCCACCCCAAGCGTGCATCCGCACCCCCGCCCCATGGCGTGGCAGGCGGTCAGGGGCCGCAGCTGCTGGGGGCTGGCCGTGGAGGTTTGAAGTGGAAGTGGGGATCTGGCGAAACCGTGGGGACAGGGTCGTGGCGGCAGAGGTTGACAGAAAGTTGGGTACTCTGATGGCCAGTACCCTGGTGGCCAGTTGCGGCCGCGGCCGCCCTGGCCCCTGCCAGGACGGCCGGCGGCCAGTCCGAGACCTCTCCCGCCCGCATGCATACCCAGCCCATGCTCCACCACGAGAGGGAAAGAGGTGAAGGTCACATGGAAGCAGCGGAGGGAGCGAGGGCTGCAAGAGGGTGAGCCACCAGGGAGTGGAGGTTTGAGGTCGGCGGAGCCCTCTTACGCCGCGGACGAAGGAGCCCCTCGGGAACCCACGAGCTTCACGTCGCCATAGTCTGAGCTCAAGTGGGTGAGAAAGCCCCGTGGGGACCCGCGCTGATCGCAGTCGCCACTGATGTTCACGCTGTTGATATGCCAAAAGGAAGTAGACTCCCATGCCACCGGTTGCGCTGCTTCCATCTGCACGGTGAGTGCACGCGCGTCGGCTACAGGATACCGTGGGAGGTAGGAGCGGGCGCGCGGCAGCTGGCGGCCCTGCCTGCACGCAGCAAATGGGGGCGCAGGGAAGCGGCGCACTGATCGGCGGCTGCTAGGCCAGTCCGATCGCGAGGTTTGCCTCGCCTGGTGGGCGATCAGAGGGGAGTCTCCTGATGCGCCGCAGGTAGATCGCGCTGGTCAGGCTGATCGGATTGGACGGCGTCTGCTCGGGTCGGCCGCGGTTTCCACGGGTCGGGACCGTAGTGGGAGAGCCTCCTTGTTCGTCTCCAGCTGGTCGCCCCGGAGGATGATGGCGGGGCGCCCGACTGAGGGCAATGTCGACGCCGGTTTGCGCTCGCCGGCGCGAGGAACGCCCCCTTCGGCGATGTGGTCCGCGATCGCGTTGCGGATCGTTGCAGCCATGTGCCAGTGCCAGTATAGCCACTAACGCGCTGCTACATCTGGCGCGGTGCCTGGTGGTGTGCGGTGCTGCTGGCCACCGCCCTGCCCGTCGGGGCCGCGCTCCAAGTTGGCCTCGTTGGTCTGCTCCAACTGCACTCTGTCCTGAAGTCAATGACTGTTGGTCCAGGTGTCCGATTAAGGTGGCGCGGCCCCGATGCGTTGGCCGGTGGGCGGAAGTGGGTCGTACAAAATCGTCGGGTCTGGTGTCGGCAGCCGGTTATGCTGGTTCTGTGTCGCTCTCAGGCGAGGGGGTCTGGCTGGTGATGGGCTCGCCCATCCTGGCCATTGCCTCGATGGCGATTTCCCCCCGTAGGGCGGCGACGAAGAATGGTGTCGGCGTGCGCGTGGGGCCGCGTCGTGCAGATACCTTGATGCCAGTGAGGACATTCCGGCATGATGCAGCACGCCGGCTTGGTCGTGCACGTCGTCGTGCCTGCGGCTCTTCGCGTAAGTCAGCATGCTAGCCAAGCAGCGGTTGGCGCATTTTGCCAAGCCCCCCTGTCGCTGGCCCATCTAGCCCAGCAGCTCGTGGGACCCGAAGTAAGTGTTGAGAGCCCCTTCCACGTGGGCCATAACCTGATCGCGCTGGACGCGGAGGTCGTCGGCTCTCGCTTCTCTCTCGGCCTCGGCTGGGTCGGGCAGTTCGAGCATCTCGTCGTAGATGTGGATCGCCTCGCGGGCGTGCATATTGGACATCGCGCGCTCGCGCTCGCATGGGTCGTCGCTGATCGTGGCGGCCAGGCGATCGAAGATGTCGTGCATGCGGCCCTTGATCCGCATCCCTGTTGTCGTGATTTGCGGCGGTGGAGGTGGACGTCGCTTTGCGGGATCAATGGCCACGTCTCGAATGCGCTCGACGTGCTCGTCGGTAGCCCTCGGGGCCGTCGCGTGACAGCTCGTCGGGGTTTGGCTCGAGACTGCCCCCTCGGTCTCGTTATTTCTCGGCGCGGTCGGCGGCGCCTCTGTCGGCGCGTCCTGTCGTGGCCCAAGCGCGCTCGGTTGCTTGCCATCGCTGCCGCATCCTGTCGCTGAAATGGCGGGCTACACGATCGGGGTCGGCGTCGGGGGAGCTGGCGGAGCTACGCGGTGTAGAGGCAGGTGCGGTATATTGTTTGGTGAGCAGATGTCGTTGCCATGGATCCCCCCCGCACCTCGCGGCGCCCGGGCCGGGCTCGCGCGCCGCCGCTGGCGGGCGGGGCCTCGCGGCTGGAGGAAGGCGGGGCCCTTTGGATCGGGGCTGCCATCGAGTCAGGCAGTAGCGTCGTCACCGTCAGGCTTTGCGGTCTGATGCGTGAATCCGTCGTTGGAGCGCGCGACTGTCTTGCGCAGATCTCTGCGATGACCATGGGTGCCCCGCTGCTGGGTGCGAGGGTTGTCGCATTGACTGGTGAGTAGTAGCCGCGCGAAGCGGCCGGCATCGGCGACGGAAAGCTTCGCGTCGGTTGCATCTCTGTCGGTCGCGCAGCCAACTGCTGGCTTCAATCGGACCGCGCTGGCCTTGAAAACCACGTCGCGCGGTACTCTGTGATGGCGGCGCTAAATGAAGCAATGTCAACCGTAAGAGACCGAGCCTGAGGTGATGGTGACTGCTGCCTCGAAGGGGTGGGAGACGTCGGTGGCGACGGCGGCGGCTGTGCCCTGGTGGGTGGGACAGGCCATCGGCCGGTTAATGGATAATGTTGTAGTTCCCGTCGGTCCCGTCGTAGAAACATTCCACGTTGTCCGGTGATCGTGCCCTTTCCCGGACTGCTTGTTGCTGTGCGTTGCCTGGGTCTGTCCACGTCATTTCCCTGGTGCCCAGGTTGGAGTGGCGCACTTGGTGGTTCCAGACGAAGTCGTTGCTCTCGTACATGGCGATCCATGGAGGTCGATGGTTCCCTTAAAGGACTCCTGTGCGTCACATTGCCTCGTCGAGCGCATGCGGGATGCAAGTCGGGTAGCCCAGCGGGAAAAAATGGTGAGGTGGCTGGTTGTCCGGCGGTGAAGGCTGGGCCTTGTGGGGGGCCTGCTGGGCCGGGCTGGCGGCAATTACCCTGATGCTTGTCTTTGAGTTGACTGGCGTAGGTTGCTCACGTCTTGGCCTTTCATGTCCGACGATCTGAGCGTTGATGTGAAATTGGGTGATGGTGTTTGTGGGGATGCGCCTTGCGAGCCCGTTTGCTGGAGTTCCGGCTCGTAGTTGTCCTCGTGGGCTTCGTAGTAGGATGTCCTCGGCCTCTCCAACATGCGGTGTCATTCTTGGCGTAGGTCCGCTAGGAATGGCGGCATCAAGCTGTGGATATCGGCAACCATTGTCTGCGTGCAACCGTGAGCGCTGATGCTGACCAATTCGACACATGGGGCTGGTTGTGGGCGTGGTGTTCTCTCAATCCTGATTGTTTCCACTTATGGTACAGGCCTCGGAAAAAATAGCGAACACGCCACATTCATCTGTGAACGCCTCCCCCTCCCCCCAGTGTTCAAAGTTGGCGGTGGGTCTGATGAGTTGCACCTCGACCGCAGTCTCCCCCGCGCGTGCCAACCTTGAGTTTGGGGGGCAGGGGGGGTGTTCACTAATTGTTTCCCTCTACCGTAGTTGGTTGGTTGGGACTCGGTGGCCGTGGCCACTCGTCGGACGTGACGTCAGCCTGCGCGTGCCATGGTGCGCCCTCGAACACAGGGCACGTCGGGTTGCCACTCGAGGGTGAGCCGATGTGTAATCCGTGCCTTGTCTGCATCTTGTCGTAATGGTTGAGGGGCACCCTGTGAACCGCACTGCACTTCTGCAGGCAGCGGAGCTCCTCGTCCTGGCCCTCAGCCACTGGTAGATACCCAGTCGCCGTTGGAGATCCCCTTTGTCTGCATGGAGGCCTGCCCGAGTCTGAGACGCCATGTGGAGATTGCGCTCTTCGAGAAGCCAAAGTGTCGGTGCGAGGGTGCACGCCCTTCGCTCCGATGGCAGCGACGGTAGCGAGCGTGTGTCGGTCAGGCGCAGCAAGCAGGGGCAGGGCCTCGCTCTGGCCCAGGGCGTTGCCCTTCGGGCCCGTGGCGTGGAGGGTGCAGGTGCCTTCGCGGGTCCCGTGGGTGCATAGCTCTGCGCTCGGCGTCCTGGAAGTCTGCCCTCTGCTGTAGCTGTGCGGACGGTACCTTGTGGATCTGGGCAGCATGTTCCATCTCGGTTCCTCGCGGGCCCAGACGCAGACGCAGACGCGCGAGTCCGCCGGCCGGCGGGCCGGCAGGCCCCTTAGGGGCGGCGCGGGCGGGCCGGAGCCCGGTCACAGGCATGTGAACTTCAAGAAGTCGCTTTCGAGGTCCGCCCAGAATTTGGAATTTGGAATTTGGAGTCTCGCGGGCCCACCTGTGGGATGAACAGGTAGATCAGGCTATTTTCCGCCATGTCCTTGGGCCTTTGTCCCATGGTTGCCCTCCTCGTCCTCCTCCTCTTCCTCCTCCTCCTCCTCCTATTCCTCTTCCTCTTCCTCCTCCTCCTCCTCCTGCTCTTCCGTACCCCCCAGTCCACTCCTTCCAATCCCCTCTTCCGCCAGGTAGTTGAAAGAGTCCTGGGATGCGATGGCAAAATCAACTATTTGAGAGCAGGCAGAAGGATCTCTTCTACATCATGCCTCATTGTTCTGGCGAGCGGTACGGCGTCGAGTCAGCAATCGAACCTGGTTAGATGGGATGCGAGGAGGGACCGAAGAAGGCGGACCATAATCTTGCCCGCTTCCCTCTTTTTCCCCTCCTCGTTTACCATCTAATGGGTGTTGGCCTTGGGTGTTGACCGGAATTCGGCAAGGAGGAGAAGCAGGCCGTGCTGCCTACTTACGGAATGCCGCCACGTCTCGCAGAGCGACCAGCTGCTCTACAGAGAGATGGCGCAGAGGAGGGAAGGGAGAAGCTATGCGACGGAATCGAGTGGGGAGATTGCTGTTGGACATCGGAGAAGAAGTGGACCTAAGGCGCCGGCGGATGTGCAGATGGGGTCCTCCTTCCAGCAGTCTTTGATCTCCGAGAGCAGCTGGTCCTCAAACGCGGGAGGAATGGGAGGCCGCGGAGGTCAGCTGGAGCGCGCCATGAAAGGCGACGATCACTCCCTCCTTCCTTCTCCGTCAACACTCTTTCGCGACAACCGACGGACGCGCAATGCTTCAACTGTCCATCGGGCGAGGGAGCCAGTGAGAAGAGAGAAAGAGAGAGAGAGAGAAAGCGCAATAATTAGAGAGAGAGAGAGACACACTCAAATACATCTCGGCATCGCATACACGATCGGCCAATCAGCATAAACGAACACCACGAGACCACGCCGGGACACGAAGGGCCGAACGCCTGTGCTGACCGAGAGGGTCGACCGTGCGTGGGGGTGCGCATGGAGGAGCAGAGGGTGCGAAGAGGGGGCCAGCAAGATCGGCACCAGATCAGTCCAAAGCTTCGCGCGAAGCCCCTCTCCTCCTTCTCCTCCTTCTCCCCTCCAGTTTCTCCTCAGCGTCTACCAGGCTGAATCAAACTGTGACATGTGAGAATGACCAGGGAGACGATGATGTGGAGAAATGCAACAACGAGAAATCCCCAGATACGTGAAAGGACGAGGGGACGGATGTGAGTAGGAAAGGAGGGAGAGGGGGGAGGACCCTGTACACAGGGGGCGATGGGGAGGGAGAGGGAAATACGAGCGGGGCATCATGAGGACAAAGAAGAAGCGAACGTAGGGGCGAAGGGAAAGGCAGTAGGCGCCGACGGGGGGGTGGAAACATCAGCCTGGAAGCGGCGGTGCGTCGCCGATAGATCGCCGAGACGTCCCCGCTGGCGACTCCGAGCGTTTTGCTGGGCGGGGTGGGCTATGAGGCCCACATGGGCGATCCACTGGCGCTTGGAAGTCGATGCGTCCCCCCCTGCGCCCATCACCCCCCGACGTTGCCCCCGAGGGACTGGGCAGGGAGGAGGCGGCCCCCCCCCCTCCTCCCTCGCGGCTTCCTGCTGCGGCCTGCGGCACTCCCCCCCCCACCCGCCTTGTCGTCGCTGTCGGAGCTGAAGGAGCCGGCGGAGCTGATGACGGCCCTCGCGGCCGTGGCCCAGCTCCAGCTCGCGCTCTGCGCGCGCATCTCCTTGAGCACCTCGGCCACGAGCGCGTCGCCTGCGGCCAGGGCCTCCTCTTCCTCCTCAGCCTCGTCCTCGTGGAGCGTCATCATCTCCCTCCGAGGGTCCCAGCTCGAGGTCCGAACAGCGTCGCGTCCCATCATTATTGTTTGGCCCGCAGGGAGCTGCGGACACAGCGCGCGCCAAAACAACGCACGGGTGAGACAACCAAAGGAGACAACCTTACTGTACCATCCGAGGGCGTGCAAATGTCAGGTGGAAGACCAGCGTAAGTGGCAAATCCGCTCGCCATCGGGTTTGCAATGTACCCCGCTGGCTATCGCTCCTCTGTTCTGCAGGGGGTGCCGCTACCAGAGTCGGCGACGAAGCATGCTACGTATCCATGTCAATGCGCATGCGTATGCATCATATTCTATACGCGTGCACATCTATTGCACGCAATGCGACTTGCATATTGCGTCGTTGCTGCGCATTCTCCATTTGCAGGTCGATTATCGCGCTTGTCCTGCGATTTAATTGTTTCTAGCCTTCGGCAACTGAACCACTTGTGCCGTAAGTCTGACCTGCCATGGGCAGCTCCTGATGCTTTCGTGAATCTTGGGTTCACAGGTCCCGAGCAGCTGCTCGAAGGATTCACATTCACGATTTGCTTTAATTTCTGGCCGTTGCACCAAATCAGTCCTCCTCCCATAATTTCCCGCCATGTGGGCTTCTGCAACCCACACGCCAGAATCCCGCACGGCGCCGAGCATGCGGGCCGGCTCCATCGCCTCGTCTTCTCCTCCACTTCCTCCTGCCTGCTCCCAGATCGCCGACGACTAGATTTTGTCAAGCCGATGGGTTGTGGACCTCTGGACCCCTTCCCTCCCGAACCAGCTTCTCATCCTGAACAGGTCTTGACAGCGTCTGGGCTTGAAAACGGCCACTGGACACCCAAAGCGGCAAGAAATCTATCCGGCGCGATACACTCGAGTCGCCAGAGGCTTATGTTGCATCCTCGGATGACCTTGTCTGTCTCCTCGCGGTGTATCCGCGTCGAATCCTGGCCGAATCCATGTCGGACTCGTCGAATCCCCGTCGAGTCCGTGCCGAATCCACGCCGAGCCCGCGCCGAATCCGCGCCGAGTCCGCACCGAGCCCGCGTCGGGCACGAGAGAGAAGACACCACCTCTGGGGGCAGGCGAGGTCCCCCCCGAAGGTGCCGCGCAACAGGAGGCCTCCGGCCTCCCGCGAGGAGCTTTTTCTGGGCCTCCCGCGGGGAGCCACGGGGGAGGCTCCTCCGAAGGCCAGAGAGGGCTTCCGGGAAGCCTGACCTTCCAGAGAGCTATTTCTCAGCTCTGGAGACCTAAAAACCGAAGAAGCTGAGCGACACAGCCCAAAACCGAGAGACGCAGAATAGCTTTGGGGCAGGTTTTTGGAGTCGGGTGCTATCTTTTGGCCGTCCTGGGAGGTCAGGGAGGCCTCGCCGCCCGCCGAGGAGGCCTCTGCCCCCCCCTCGGCGGCCCCCCCCTCGACGTCGGGGAGCGTCGACCCCCAGGCGCCCCGGGGGGGCGGGGCCCCCCGAAGCTGCAGCGTGAATGACTACCTACCAGACCACCCCAACCCAACCCGAAGACCCCAATTTCGGGTTGGGGGGGTACGAGTTCCATATGTGTTTTTTCCAATGTTCCCCGACCCCCCCCCCAACTGGAAATGGAGGGCAGATTGAGGCCTTCGGGTTGGGTTGGGGTGGTTTGGTGGGTGGTGAAGAGAGGCCTGGGCCCGGGTGCGGGGGTGTTCCGCAGATCGAGGCCCCCGCGGGGCCGCCCTCTGGGCTGCATCCTGCCCAGCACTGCAGGGGGAAAAAAAAAAACGCCGTGGCCACGAGGGCCCCCGCGGAAGGCTCAAGAGCGTCCCACACATGTCGTTCCTCGAACCTCGATCCTCGAAACTCTGATCCTCGATCGATCCTCGATATTCGTCCTCGAGAGGTCCCCCGAAGATGCAGCGTGAAGGGGCCTGGCTTCAGGGGTGTGCAGCAAGATCGACCCCCCCCAGGGCTGCCCTCTGGGCTACGTACTGGCCAGCACCGCAGGGGGGGAACCCCGCCGTGGGCACGAGGGCACCCGCGGAAGGCTCAAGAGCGTCCAAACATGTCGTTCCTCGAACCTCGATCCTCGAAACTCTGATCCTCGATCGATCCTCGAAATTCGTCCTCGAAAGGTCCCCCGAAGATGCAACGTGAAGAGGCCTTGCTGAGGGGGTGCAGCAAGGTCGACTCCTCCCCCCCCCGAGGCTGCCCCACGGGCTGCGTCCTGGCCAGCACTGCGCCGCGGGGGAGGAACCCCGCCGTGGCCGCGAGGGCCCCCCTCCGGAAGGCCCAAGAGAGGTCCAACCTTCGGTCGGGCACGCCCCCCTACGGGCGGGTTTTGGAAGAAACGCAAACAATCGACCAACAAAAACGAGGATCTCCAAAACAAAATAGTAGACTGCGTCTGGCTGATTCTTGAATCTTCCGCCTGTAGAGGGACAGGCCCGACTTGAGTCCCAGCGTGTCGTTCCTCGAGCCTCGATCCTCGGACCTCGCACGCAGCACGCTCACCTTCGCGCCCTCGGCATCGCCTCCGCCTGCTCCCTGTCCCTGTCCCTCCCTGTCCGCCTGCTCCTCGTCCCTGCTCCCTCCCGAGGCGCCAAGACGCCGTGCTCTGATGTCCAGCCTACGCACCGACCCCAACGCCCCTCCATCACGGAAAGGCCCGGTGGGTGGCAAAGCTGTGCTGGCATGGGTGGGCCTCCTCTTCCTCCACCCCCAGCTCCTTCTCCTCGTCCTCCTCGTCGGAGACTGATGCTTTCACAAGTTACGTGCCCATCTTGGGCCTCCAGCGGCCAGCAGAGAGCGTTGGGCTGTCGCACGACTCCTCCTCCTCCTCCTCCTCCTCCTCCTCCTCCTCCTCCTCCTCCTCTTCGTCCTCCTCCTCCTCCTCCTGCTCCTCCTGCTCCAAGGCTCGGCTGACTTGCCCTCTTTCTTGGACAGGGAGCTGCCCACTCTTAGGGCTCGCCACTCATCATAGCTCTTCCACGGCCCCAGTTTCATCGTGATCACGTTGTTTCTCCTCGTCCACCTTCCCTTCCACTGGGTTTTCCCATAGGGTGGCCTGACATGTGCAAAGATGCCCGAAGACTGAGCGCAAGTGGCACGCGGATGTTGAACATGCGGTGCCCGCGCCTTGAAAACCACATGCGTTCCCCCTGTTTGTGCCCGCGCCGCATCGAGAGCTGCCCGCGCTGAGAGAGCGTGGTTTCGTAGTTGGTGTAGAAAAAGCCTTGGCCGTCTCCAGCTCGTTGCTGCTCTTGTTGAGCTGGTCGAATATGTATTTGGTCGCCTTCGTGTTGCTCCTCACCTCCTGGATCAGGCGCTTGCTGACCTCGATGAACGTCTTGAGCAGTGTGCCCGCATCCTTTCCTTCAGTTGATTATCATGTTTGGCGATGGGT